GAGGAGGAGGAGGAGGAGGAGGAGGAGGAGGAGGAAGAGGAAGAGAAAGGAAGAAGAAGATCATCTCTGGAACCCTAGGACTGGGACTCATTAATTGGGGGCTGTGGATACTCTTGTCCCTATTACCCCCAAATCTGCCCTTCCCTGCAATCCTTCCCGACGGCCCAAAGCCTTCTGTTTTAATTGAAGAGCGCACGCCGGTTCATTGCCTCTCGGGCTACGCGATCTCAAACATGCTTCTCCCGGAGACCGGGAGCTTTGTTTGGTGTTTTCCTTTGCTTCTGTGCGTAATTATTCCTGGTTGAAGTTCCAGGAGGTAGGGGGTGGGAGCTTGATCGCCTGGGCAACAAAAAGGGCAGCGATCCACCTGGGCTCTTTAGTGTGTGGATGGTAGTGTCGGTGGTGGATGCGGTCTACCAGGTGGGGACAAGTCGGGCGTTCCCTGGTTCGGAAGCCACGGTTCTGCTCCGCCCCTCGGCTCTGCAGCCCCGCGTCCCTGCCAAGTCCAGGGCGCGGGGGACCTGCAGGAACCTGAGCCGTGTCAGCGAGTAACGTGATGCACCTTCATCTCCTAGAACCCGAGCCCTGCCACGGAGCTCCCGGCGGCCCGGCCCCGAGGCGCTGCGGCCGCGCGGCGCATCCCCGCCAGCCCGCACCATGAACACCATCGTCTTCAACAAGCTCAGCGGCGCGGTGCTGTTTGAAGATCGGAGCGCTCAGGAGCGGGAGCGGGGCGGCCGGGCCTTTGGCGGTGTCTTAGACAGCCCCCATACCCGCCCCGAGGTGGGTATTCCCGACGGCCGGCCCCTGAAGGACAACCTGGGCCTGAGACACCGGAGGACCGGGTGAGCGCACTCTCCTGGGAGCCCTGCCCGCCTGCAGCCGATGGGTGGAGGGCGCGGGGAGCCCACGGGCACGAGGACCTAAAGGTTGGGGGTCCAGAGTGCCCGTAAAAGGACAGATCCCCACCTCCAGGCTCACGCGTCCTCGCTTTAAGGGTCTGGCTTTCTAAAACACGGGATTGGTCTCAAAGAGGCTTGTTGGGAACGGAGGGAGTTGAAACTGCCGCTAGGTGCTCCGCTACCTGAATCTTAGGTAGTTTCTTGTCCGTCCGAGCCGGATGCGTTGGAACCGGGCAGAGCGCCCTACTTGGAGATGCCCTGCTCAGGCCTTGGGAGGCGGGGAGTGGGGGGCGCGGCTTCTTCTTTCTCATCAGAGACGAGACCTTGGCCGTGGCCTCACGGATCTATCTATATCGGTCTGGGACTAGGGTGTTTGGCAAGGTCAGATCTCGCTCCGTGTCTATCCTGGGCGCGCGCGCAGTTCGGCGAGGCCCGCGGCGAGCCCGGAGGGGTAGGCCGCGGACCCGCCGGCTCGGCATTCGGCTTAATAGGGTTGGGGGAGCTGGCTGAGGGGCAGGAGCTCGCCAGTGGCCATCTGCCCGGGCTCCGGGAGGTAAAGGGCAGTCGGTGACCCGGTCGGTTCTGATGTGTCCTTGGGGGGAGGGAAGGGGAGGGACGGCCGTCCTGGCCGCTTCCACCTGAAAGATTGCATCAGCTGCCTGTTCTGCGGAGTAGCTGGTTTGTAAAATAGAGATTGGGTTTCGTTAAAATGCTACTGCCACTTGGTTCGGCTGGAATTGCATTTCAAAGGGTTTAAAGACACAGAAGTCCCGCAGGCAGCGGCGCAGGCGCGCCAGCTTCGGGATGCACAGGGGAGCGCGGGCGGCAGCGGGCGACACCTCCCGGAGCCTCGCGGGAGCGCAGCACCCGAGGCTTGGGCTCCAGGCTTAGGGATGCTTCAGCCACCTTCAAGTTTCCTGGATCTTTTAACTTTACCCGATGAGACAGAACTTTCATCACTTTAACTCTCATTTCGTAGGGAAAAGGATCCTAGTGGTTTTTTTGTTTTGTTTTTAAAGACCTGTGCTCTGCCACAAACCTTTCCTTTGGAAAATGTCCTCGTTGTCCAGAAGATGGAAGGATTAAGCCGGGGAGGGGGCAGCTGGGGTGGCTGTCATCTCTTGCTTTATTCCTGTCGTTGAGCGGGTGACCTTTCCCTGTGCACCCACAGCTGGAAGCTTAGGGTGCTACATTGGAATTCCCTGAAAGCACGTTGGAGAGGCGGCCAACCCAACCCCGCTCTGCAGACCGTGGTTGCGCGTGATGTCAGCTGGCGCTGAAAGGCTTATAATTAACCTTGCTATCCACACCTGCAGCTTGATTAACCATTTCTTTCAAACCATTGAACTTCCCTCTCCTACAAGTTTTCAGTGACCGAGTTCAAGGTGTCCCCCGTTGCTCATGATAAACCTAGCATCCTGCAGTGACTGACGACACGCAGATAATTTCAGAGACACTTAGAAAATGATGTTCCCCCCCCCCACCCAGAAACTCCGCCCTCACTGTGGTTTGTCCCAACCTCTGGCTGGTTGGGGATGGGGCGCCCTGCGGAGCTAGAAGCCCCTGGGCGGGGGGGGGGGAAGGGTGCCAGAGGGACTTGGTGATCAATCCCTCCCTTGCTCTAGATTGCAACCCCAGAAATGTGCCCTGGCATGGAGGGTCCCGACCTTCACCCTCTAGACCATCTCTCACCCTGGCTTCCTCTTCTCCCCGTGTCCCAGGACCCGGCAGAATGGCGGAAAGGTGAGGCACAAGAGACAGGCACTTCAAGACATGGCGCGGCCGCTCAAGCAGTGGCTTTATAAGCACCGTGACAACCCGTACCCCACCAAGACCGAGAAGATCCTCTTGGCCCTCGGCTCGCAGATGACGCTAGTGCAGGTAATCAGGAGGCCCCTCGGGCTCCCAGGCTCCCTTCGTGGGGAGTGTGGTCGAACAGGTGACCACCTCCCCCAGTCCCTGGGGAAGGAGAGAACTGAGAGACGGGGCCAGAAGGCTCTGGCTCGGGATGCTGGCAAGGCGCAGGTGCAGAATTCTGCTGGGGGGGGGGTGTCCGAATTTCCTCTCATCCCTAGCTGTCATTTCAATGCAGATGATCCGGCCAGGAGGAATTGCAAGTTGTGTCTTTAGGGGTGGAATGTGAAGAAGGCAGGTTGTAGCTGGGGATGGGGATTCAGGAACGAGGAAGGATGGACACAGATGATAAGTCCCCGCATGGATTTCAAACTTCGGGCTACACCAGAATCGCCTGCAGAGCTTGTGAAAACACAAATAGTTCATCCCACCCCCAGAAGTCTTGATTCAGTAAATACGAAGTAGGGTCAATCATGTGCATTTAACAAGTATAGCAAGCTCTCAGGTAATGCTAAAGCTGCTGGCCCTGGACCTCCCTTCCAAAAAGTTAGAGAAAACTATTCCACCATAAGGTGACATATTGAAAGCCTACATTAAAGCTCAAGTACAGAATAACATTCAAAGTTACCATCATTGATAAATGGGAAGATGGAAAGGTAGGAAGGGTGTGTGTGTGTGTGTGTGTGTGTGTGTGTGTGTAGGTGTGTTCACTCACGTGTGTGCATGCGTGTTCTCACTAATCTGGGGCTTGAACTCAAGACCTGAGTGTGGTCTAGCTTTTTTGCTCAAGGTTGGCACTCTGCCACTTGAGCCATAGGTCCACTTCTGGCTTTTTGGAGAGAAGAGAATTATAGACTTTCCTGCTCTGGCTGTCTGTTATGATCCTCTGATCTCAGCCTCATGAGTAGCTAGGGTTATAGACATGAACCACGGGTGCATAGTAGAAGTTTTTTTTTTTTTTAATGCAGAAAGAACAGAAAAAGAAAGGAAATTTAAAAAAATACTATTAGTTGTAAGTAACCACAGCTCCTGTTGTGGTACTGGGCAGGAGACAGGATTCAGATCTCAAATGGTTGGGTCACATTGTCTAGTGTAGAGTGATGGCACAATTTTGCTTCTTCCCTAATGAACACACACTGTATTTAACGTTTTCATGTGTGCCCATCTTGGAGTTTTAACTCAAGGTCTGGGCAATGTCCCTAAGCTTTTTTTGCTCAAGAATAGTGATGTATCACTTGAGCCACAGTTTCACTTATGGCTTTTTTGATACTTAATTGGGGATAAAAGTCTCAGGACTTCCCTGCTTAGTCTTGCTCTGAATCATGATCCTTAGATCTCAGCTTCCTTGGTAGCTAGACTCACAAGCTCTAACTTCTTTGATCATTATTTTATTTGATATTTTCCAAACTTGGTGATGTATATCAGTTATTATTGGCACTTTACTGATGATATAACCAAGGTAAATGGAAAGGGGAGAGGTAGGCCTGGAAATAAAAACAAATAATAATTATTATAATAATGTAATTCCCAACCTAGTGCTTTCTCCATTATACCACAGTGTTCATTAATAAGTCTGGTGATATGAACTTTTATACATGTGGCAGAAGAGATAGATTTAAAAAAGAGAAGGAGCAGGGTGGGCTGGATATTTTATATATTGCAGTAGAAATTTCAGAAATATACATTACAGTTAATTGCACAAATGATTGCATTTATGAAATTTTGTACACCTCATTACTTATAGTAAGGAGCTTGGTTTTATATCTGCTTAACATAAAGCTATGAGTTTTGCGATGATTTACCTATGTTGTTGCTAAATAAATTACTACAATTAGGAAAATTTGACGTGAAAATAAATGCATAACCCCCAATTTCAGTTAAAACAGGCATGCTATTTATTTTTAACACATACTAATTTATAGGGTTATTTGAATATTTAACAATGATGTCACCAACAAAACATTACATTATTTTGGTTGATTATATGGTTTTATATTTAATGCTTGACATGTTTATACATAAAGCAAAAATTGGCATATTTTAGAACACTTAAAAATTATGGAAAGTAGCACTTGTTATGAGGAGAGACATAAATTGTGTTTTTCTTTTGGGTGGTATTGGAGTTTGAATTCAAAGCCTGGAGTTTGCTTGGCTGGCACTCTACCACCAACCTGAAATATTTAAATTTTCATGCAGTAGTTTTATTGAGCTACAAATACAAGTAGCTAACATTTCAATACAGAATTAACTTTGAGGGGCTGGGAAGGTAGCTCAGTGGTAGAGTGCTTGCCTTGCATGCCTGAGGCCCTGGGTTCGATTCCTCAGCACCACATAAACAAAAAGAAAAAAGCCGGAAGTGGTGCTGTGGCTCAAGTGGTAGAGCACTAGCCTTGAGCTGAAGAGCTGAGGGACAGCGCCCAGGCCCAGAGTTCAGGCCCCATGACTGGACCAAAAAACCCCAAACAAACAGAAAAAAAGAATTAACTTTGAATGCAAATGAGGTGCTTTAGCATTTATGGCTTATTAAAGTTATTTCATTTTTCTAATTTATGGGACTTTTATTCAAACTTATTTTCTTCCTGTGACATTAGTTCTCACAATATAAAAACACATAAGATACCTAATTTTTAATGAGATGAAGATTGTTATACTACTAATATAAAAGTGAAACATGTGTAACAATTATTTCCAAATTTTACTGTAAATGAAGTTGATTTCGTAAGCTTTAACATGATAAATGGAAAAAGGCAGTTACATCTAAGGCAATTACATCTAATCCAGTTATTTTCAACTAACTATGCACAATGGTATGTCTATGTAAAAAAATATACGTATGTTATATGTACCTATATGCACACATTTTGAAATATAGAAGTTTGTAAAAGTCAAACATAGACATCCAAAGCAAATTCTAGCTGTATGGAACATTGCATAAATTATGGAAATATTTTTTACTTCTGGGGAAAATATATAAAGCTGTGATCTAAGTAAAGCTTTTGATCCCTGGAAATTAATGAGTCAGATTCTCCCTGTGAATCAGCTTCTCCTATGGAGTCAGACTTCTAGAGCAAGCAATCGTGTGTGATGCATGGGATTTAACCCATGGCCTGGTGCTTTCCATATGGTGAACTACCCATATATATTTGTAGAGACAGTAGCTTTGTTTTGTATAATAGCAGGAAAATCACCACATAAGTTCCAGCATGCCTATCAACTGAAGAATGCTTGCACCCTGAAGTGTTCTAGTTTGAAAACCCATTATATTGTAAGGAATAGGCAGAAAATAGTTTATGTTTCATGCTGGCTGATAGTTCCATAAAACCAGACACAAGTATAGCTCATTTTAGTTTCAAAAGGTCTGAATGTATGTTATAGATCGATGTCTGTAGATAAATAAGGATTCCTTCATTTATTTCTGTCCAGGCATTTCTTGTTGACTGCAGTATTCTTAGCTCCTATTCCTCATGGTTTAGATGAACAAGTTGTCAGTGCAACTGTTTTATTTCTCAACTGCAGTATGAAAATACCTTATATTTGGGGAATTTCTTTTACACTTAACATTTTCCTTGTGGTTATGTCTCAGATTTTGCATACAAGGTAATTTGACCTTCCTTTGCTAGAAATGGGAAGGATGGAAACCATCCCATGAAGCCTAGAAACAAAAAGATGGGGATTTTTTTTATAACTTTGAAAGCTATTTTTTTCTGACAAATACAAACTCTATGGACATTAATCAACACCTTCTTTTTGTCTCCCTGGAAAATGAAACCAAGGGAAATGTTATACAGCTTTTACTTATTTCTGTTATTTGACTTGGGAGTATGTCCTAATTTATTAGAAGTATGTGTAACTCTCGTATGCATTACCAATCTGACGTTTTCTTAAAGAAATAATGAGTATTTTTAATCAAATTAACAGGGAGTTGGTTCGTGTATGTGCATATTTTGACTAATTGTGTGTATGTGCATTCATGTGTGTGTGTTCATGTGCCTGTGTGTGCACGCGTGTGCAGGCCCTGGGGCTTGAACTCAGGGCATGAGCACTATCCCTGAGCTTTCTTTACTCAAGACTAGTGTTCTATCATTTGAGTCACAGATTTACTTCTGGCATTTTGGGTGGTTAGTTGAAGAAAAAAGTCTCATGGACTTTGCTGCTCAGGCTGGCTTCAAATTGCCATTCTAAGATCTCAGCCTCCTGAGTAGCTAGGATTACAGGCATAAGCCACCACATCCAGCTCTGCTTTGATTTTTAACTGACCAACCAACATATTCTGTTGTGTTTGATTTCTATTGACCATTGTTCAAACATTACAAACGTCAAACAAATAGAAATGACTTTGCTGTGCAATAACACACTACAGTATAAGATTGGACCTTTGTGAAACTGCAAGATATGCAGCTTACCAAGAATTAATGACTGGAGTTAGTATTTCCTCTTCCTGTAAAAGAAACTCTAAACTACTGTGCCTTGTGCTGCTGGCATTGTAGCTTTTGGCCAAAATGAAAGTGTTACAAGATTGCTACCCCTATGTAGAGATAGTTTTGTTACATCTGAGCATTAAGTACTCCTGCTGAATAAGTACATCTTTAACAATAGCAAGGCTTCATTCATACATCTGTTAAATGTTCAACAGAGTCTCAGATGGGCTTTTAGACATTAATCCGAGTGTTATTCTACTTAGTATAGAAATGAAGTAGTCAATATTTCAGCTGAATAATCCAGAATACGTTTGTTAATTCTGTATATTGGACAGATGTTGGCTTATTATTTTGGATTCATTATAAATTTAACGATTGTTCTCTCAATATGATGAATGCATACACTTAGGTTTAAGTTGTATGAAAATTATCTAGTATTTCTTCCAACTTCTAGATATTTAGTAGTTTAAATAGCCACCATAAAATGTACAGATTTCAAAGCATTTAACTTGCCATTAACGTGGGGTTCTGCCTTTGGTAAGAAGGCCTTTTTTTGTACAAAATACAATTTGAAGAGAAGATGAAGGATACCTTGAAGGAATCCATAGTAGATAAAAGGGAAAACTGGAACTGGTATTTTTACCATCAGTGTGATATGGAGTTTGCATTAATCAATCAGAAAACTATGCAAAAATAAGTTATGCAAATTAATTAACCAGCGATTTGTTTGCTGCTGCTTGCTGGGTGCTGTGCAAGTAGATATTAAAAGCCTCAGACTGAGGCGGAGATCTGAGGTTGCAGTTCAAAGCTAGCCTAAGCAAGAAAGTCTTGTGAGATGCTTATCTATTGTTAACCATTAAAAAGTTGGAAGTATAGCTGTGGGTAGATCACCAACCACCCATAAGCAAAAAAGCTCAGAGACAGTATTTAGATGCTGAGTTCAAGCCCCAGTACCAGCACACCAAAATTAAAATAAAAAAGCAATCAATTAATAAGTGCCTCAGACTGTATCCAGGTGTTGGGTTGTACGGTACACTTTTGGCAATACAATACTGGCAGTGTAGATATATTAGCAGAGTGGGTATCAGTCTAATTTATGAAATTAGTTTAAAAATAGGCTGTGGTAGATATCAACAAACCTCTCTTGGAAAATCTCTTCATAGGTTTCTATTTTAATATGCTAAGAACTCTGAGTATATAAAACATTGAGAAGGATATGACCCCTGTTTATGAAAGGTTAATTAATCCCCTATGACATTTAAAGGTCTCCCATTTTTATACATCACGACTGTAGTAGTCTCATGCTTTCTAGGTTAGAAGACAATTCTGTTTTCATTACATAAACATTGTTAGGCAACTTAGGTTTTACACTGTATTATTATGTGGGTACTGTGTAAGCTAGGTACACTTAAGATTAGTTAAGATTTAGCTAATTCCATCTGAATTATATGCTATTTACTCAAGGAAGCAAGAAAAAAAGACTGGGATAATATTCAATGTACATATGTGAAAATGGAACTAAGTAATTTGAGGGGGGGGTTAGGAGAGATGGAGAAATGATGAAAAGGGGTGACATTGATCAAGACACGCTGTACTCATAAACTGGCATGCTGAATTGAAACCCCTCTATACAATTACTTAGGGATAATAAAAAAGTGTCTTGGAGATGGGTTTCTATGAAATATGAGTAATACTGACATAGGGGAAATTGCAGCTGTCCAAGATGTGAAAGGAACAAAGAGAGCATACCACAATCTGACTGCTAGAGCAAGCAATGGCAAGAACAGAGTACCAGCTTAAAGGACTTCACATTGAGACGTGACAGCTTGAGCTGTGTTCCCAGGTTTTAGTTCTTACAGGCGGCAACGATATCAGAAACTAGTCTTGAGAATCAAAATAACCTTGCACATGCCATGCAACCTTGCTTTGTCATTGAGCTACACCTCCAGCTATTGGTTGAAAGATCTGAAGTTCAGAAAAGTTAAATGACAATTATAGGTCCTGAGTGAGAATGTGAAAAAGCTCAATAATTAGTGATGAGTGCAATGGTTCACACCTGTAATCCCAACTGCTCAGAAGCAGAGGGTGGGAGGATTTCTGTTCAAGACCTACCTGGGCAAAAAAAGTTAGTGAGATCCCATCTCAATAAAAAAAGCTGGTGTGTTTGTAACCCCAAAGACTTGTGAAGTGCAGGAAAAAGGATCACAGTCTGAGGCTAGTTGGGGGAGCAGGTGAGGGTGGGGAGGATAAGAAATTCAAGAATCTATTTGAAAAACAACTAAAGCAAAAAAATCTATAGCTCAAACAGTAGAGGACTTGGCCAGCAGGCCTCAGGTTCGATATCTATTACTGAAAAGTAAGTAAATAAGTAAACAATAATATGGCCAGCAGGCCTCAGGTTCAATATCTAGTACTGAAAAGTAAGTAAATAAGTAAACAATATAAATAAGTAAACAATATAAGCAATATAAATATAAATTAATTAAAGCATGAATTAAAAAGTCATGTAGGCTTGTAATCCTAGCTACTCAGCAGCCTGAGATCTGGAGATTATGGCTTGAAGCCAACCTGAGTAGACAAATCTAAGAGATTTGATCTTCAGTTAACCAGCCAAAAGCTGGAAGTGGAGGTGTGGCTTAAGTAGTAGAGCATCAAACAAGAGCATGAAGCCCTGAGTTCAAGCCCCCATTACTGCACGCGCGCACACACACACACACACACACATGAAAAGAAAAGAAATTAAGTGATTTAATTAAAAATGATACAGGCAGACTTGAATTTGATGCTGGTTTTTTTGGGGGGAGGGAGGTCCAGTCGTGGGGCCTGAACGCTGGGCCTGGGCACTGTCCCTCAGCTCTTCAACTCAAGGCTAGCGCTCTACCACTTGAACCCCACAGCGCCACTTCTGGCTTTTTTCTTTTTGCTTATGTGGTGCTGAGGAATCAAACCCAGGGCCACAGGTATGCAAGGCAAGCGCTCTACCACTGAGCCACCTTCCCAGCCTCTTGATGCTGTTTTTTAAGATCCATTTAAGAGCACAGAATGGAGGTAGAGAAGTTTAAGAGGAAAGAATAGTAAGGGGAAAACAGGAGGAAGCAACAATGCTGGATAGGAAATGTACTCATTACCGTGCTCATGTAACTGTAACCCCTCTGTACAGTATTTTCACAGTAAAAAACTTAATTAAAAAATAAAAAGAAGAGTGGTATGAAGTTCTTGGTTAGCAATTATGTGGATTGGATGAAAGTTTTGGCCATGAATTAGAGAAATGTACTTAGGGAAGACGAGGTGCTTTGTGCCTCCATATTTAACGACTATGTATATATTGCAGTTATTCATAGCTGCTTGTTTATGGTGATTGTTTATGGTAGTCTTCCTAGGGATGCAGAGGACAAAGCCACCAATACAGCAGTTACATAATATTTATCTGTTGCATGAGTAGTCCTGTCTGCCTGTGGAGGGTGGAAAGACAGACAGAAGTCCCCCTGATTCATAGGAAGACATGCTCAGCTTGACTGGCAGAGAATCTCAGGAAGAATAAGGTTTAGGGTGGGGGAGGGGTCTGGTGAGATAGGACGGCATCACGCTCAAATGTCAACATGACAGTTCCTATTGCTTAGGATGAATATTGATTATGTATGGGAAAACTACCATGCATTAGCCATGGGGACAAGGAAAAAGAAAATGTACTTTTGCTTTTTAAAAAAAATATAATTCACTACAATTTCATCCACTAGTTATGACTTGAATAGTGTGCATAACCCTAAAAAAGATAGAAAAAAATGAAACTTCTAGTGAAAACTAGTATAGTAATCTGAGGCCACATAAAGGGGGGAGGGGTGGCTTATTCTTTTCCTATGGATTGTGTGTGTGTGTGTGTGTGTGTGTGTGTGTGTGTGTGTGTGCCAGTACTGGGGCTTGAACTGAGGAGGGCCTGGTTGCTATTCCTTAGCTTATTCACTCGAGGCGAGCTTTCTTCTACTTAAGCCTAGGGTTCACTTCCAGCTTTTTGGTGATTAATTGGAGATAAGTATCTCACAGATTTTCCTGCCAGGCTGACTTCACATGGTAATCCTCAGATCTCAGCTAGAATTGAAGTAGTGAAGTAATGTAGCACCTGGCTACCTGTATGTCATTCTAACATCTCAGAGTAGCCATTCCTCAAAGCAAGCACATCACCTCATTCTCAGAAAGTTATAGCCTGATTTTTCAAATAGTGCTTCCCTTCTCCTGGGTACACAGTTTGATACCTTAAGGCTTTTCTGTCTTCCTTGTATTTGCTTACACATCCTTTTTATTATTATAATTGTTACATTAGTTATGTCTGTACTCTCTTAAGTCTCTTGCTAGACTTCTCACTAAACGTTTTTTTAAATCATAAGCCCTCTTTATTTTTCTTCTTCCCAGATGTAGAAAGAACTCCAAAGAAATGTAGTACGTGTTTAGCATGTTGAAGGAATGAATGAATATGAAAATCTCAAGCCATTATGTTCTAAGACTAATGATCAAAGATGGAGAGAGAGGCTTACATCATTTATGAGGAAGTACTTGCATACGAGATCGTGTTTGAATATTTTCATAATGAAAAAAATACCGTTTTAGGTCTCAAATTGGTTTGCTAACGCAAGACGTCGGCTTAAGAATACTGTTCGGCAGCCAGATTTAAGCTGGGCTTTAAGAATCAAATTATATAACAAGTATGTTCAAGGGAATGCCGAGCGGCTCAGCGTAAGCAGTGACGATTCCTGCTCTGAAGGTTGGTCAAGACTTTTCTTTTGCTCTCTTTGCTTTGCCTTTGTGAGAAGGAAGTCTCCTCAGTTGCTGGCTTTAAGATGAGCCCTATAAAATTTTCCAGTGCCAAAACTGTCCTGTAGATTGCATGAAGTCACTCTGTTTTGACAATCCTATATTTACACCAACAGAATTACACGTTATAATACCTATCAACAGAATGACGACTGTTTCTTCTTGCTTATAAATTTATCTTGTTAGAAAAAAAAACATTTTCTGGGGAACTCATTAACATGAAAATATTAACTGAGATTGGGAGGATTGAAGTTCAAAGCCAGTCCTGACAGAAAGTCTGCACAAGTCCATCTCAATGGACAATGTTGTCCATTTCAGTTAGCAAATAGCTGTATTGGAAGTGTGGTTCCAGGGAGAGATTGCTAACAGAGCAAACAAATTCATTAACCATTAAAGCCTTAAAGATCAAACGCCAGTGCTGGAAACAAAACAAAGCAAAACAAAAAAACATAGTGAAAGATTACAGAAATTGCTTCTTTCTTTTGCCTGAAAGGTAATCTTGTTTATCAATGATAATTTTTATACATTCCATGTTCTTTGTCTGCATTTATTTTTAATGACTCCGTGTGATAACAACAATTGGGGAAAGATATATTCAAGGACATCTTAGTGGTATATTTTTTCCCCCTTAGATGGGGAAAACCCTCCAAGAAACCACATAAAGGAAGGAGGCTACAGTACTCCTGTTCATCCTGTGATGAAAAGTGAGAGTTCAGTGATCAAAGCTGGAGGGAGGCCAGAGTCTCGGGCCACGGAGGACTACGTGTCACCTCCCAAATACAAGAGCAGCTTGCTGAACCGTTACCTTAACGACTCTCTGAGACATGTGATGGCCACAAACACTGCTATGATGGGAAAAACAAGGCAAAGAAACCATTCAGGATCATTTAGCTCCAACGAATTTGAGGAAGAATTGGTGTCGCCATCGTCATCAGAAACCGAAGGCAACTTTGTCTATCGCACAGGTAAGTCTGTGGCTTTTTGTTGTTGTTTTGCAATCACTGTGATATCCTGTATAAAGCAGGTATAAAAATCATTGGATTATTCATCCGTTGCTCATAATTCAGTGTTAAAGCTTTTTCTTTTTCTTCAAATTCTTAATATATGTATTATTGTTATTTTTTAATCGTGTTTGAGTAGTTGTATAATAGAGTTTCATTTTTAATTGATAACATGTTAGTAGATGACAATCATAAAGATAGCAGAAATTTTCAGTGTTCATAATAATAAATATAAGCTTTAATTCTGTGTGTGTGTGTGTGTGAGTCCTGAGGCTTGAACTCAGGGCCTATGCATTTTTCCTGAGCTTTTGTGCTCAAGGCTAGTGTTCTACCATTTTGTGCCATAGCTCCACTTCTTTCCTTTTTGTGGTTAATCAGAGATAAGCATCTCATAGACCTTCTTGCTTGTGCTGGCTTTGCACCATGACCCTCAGATCTCAGCTTCCTGAGTATCAAGGATTATAGGTGTAAGCCACTGGCACCCAGTTTAAGTTTTCATTCTTGATGACAACTTTTAATCATAATAACAGCAATATTTAGAGAGGCTATATGGCCTTTACTTAATGGAATAAGTTATGATGGAAGAATGTTCTGGATTCTAGCCAGTTATGCAAATACCTCATATTTATTCCATCTTTTTTCTTACATACTTTGATGGCTAATAGTAATGCAGAGTGAAAACAAATTCACATGAGTGCCAATTTTTTTTTCTGAGAGAGAAAATATAGGTCTGGCTTCAATTGCATTGGAAATTTTACTTTCATTCCTGGAAAGCAATAAATAGCTTTGAAAATTTTATATTCACCCCAGAAATACTGACTCAGTTTCTACCTCTCTAAAACATTTTGATGGAATAGCGGGTTGGTAAAAATTCTTCTCTCTTGACTTCTGCTCCCAGGGAGATTTGCTTCAAAGAAGTACTGGAGCAGGTAGCTTTAGAATAAGGGATATGTATAACCTAAATCTGTTATAGTCAAGGCTGGGTTCCGAAAATACCAACAAAATGAGGCTTTAATGTTAGATCTGAAAATAACGTCAGGAAGCATTCAGTCCAACCACATGGAATCATAGATAAGAAAACCCAGTCCAAGAACACATTGGAGTTACCCTTCCACTGAATGGTCCAGTGGGGCCGGCGTGGGGGGCAGGAAAAGCACCCCTGTAGGCAGCTGCGTGTGTGACTATTCTACTACAACCAATCATTAACCAGTAGCTATGCTGACGTTAGACACCACACAATCTATTCTATACTCCATCTCTTGATACTGAGAAACATAACAAGTAAGTGAAGAATAGAGGTTTAGGAAAGAATCTACATGTGGACTATTGAATAGAATATCCACATTATTTACCAAGATACCACATTTTCAAGTGTCTACAAATGTAATGAAGATTATTTTAGCTATCAAGACTTAGACTGAGTATCAGCACAGTCTTTGAGAATTAAATCAACCTCATTTTCTGTTTATATGTCTATTCGCTACATTATATATATTTAAAAACTCCAAACAGGGCTGGGAAGGTGGCTCAGTGGTAGAGTGCTTGTCTTACATGCATGAGGCCCTGGGTATGAGCACCACATAAGCAGAAAAAAAGCCAGAAGTGGCGCTGTGGCTCAAGTGATAGAGCGCTAGCCTTGAGCTGAAAAACTGAGACAGTGCCTAGGCCCAGAGTTCAGACACCACAACTGGCCAAAAAACAAAAATACAACAAAAAACTTCAAATATTCAGAAATATAAGAAAGTCTTACTGGGTCTAGGAAGAAGTAAGAGTAAAAGTCATACAGGCAAGTAGAAACTACATTAACATGTAACTAAGCTGAGAGCTTAGGTCAGAACTTAGGAGTCATTCAGAGCTTTATGAATTTCTTCTCAGAGAAAGGAACACAAACCAGGTCATTCAAATGACTGGAAGAAGAATAAAAATAAAGTTAAAACAAGGTGGAAAGGAAAGCTGAAAACAAACAACTAACTCAAAACTCAACTCTGAAAACAGTAATAAAATTAACAAGCAAAATGAACACAAATGGATGTTGGAAATAACAAAGGAGGTATTGCAACCCATGCAGTCACTAAAAATGATGTTAAAATATAAAGTAATATTAATTCACAGTATACCATATTTAAGTGTACACATGAAATTAATTGGAATTAAACACACAAATAAATTACACATTCATAATTAAGAAATATTTTAAATGACCAATCACTCAGGAAAAATTGAGTCTAAAACACATGACTTCATCGATCCACTGATTTTTAAACTTTTTCCAAATCTCTAAAGACATAATTAATTCCTGAGTTCAATGCATTTTTCTGGAACATATAGAATTACAGGAAGTTGCTCAGTTTTCATAAATGTAAATGTTATCCTATTCTCAAACAAAATTAAGACAACATAAAACCATAGTTTTGTGACATTATTATGAAATAATATAGGCAATATTTATGAAGTAGTAGGAAATCGAAAACAGTTCAAAATTATAGAAATGAAAGACACAATTATGGAAATATTGATGTGTTTAAATGAAAACAGCAACGTCTTCTGGGAAAAATATAATTAATTGTAGAGCTCGGTTAACTGGCAATTTATTATTTAACAATAATTTTCCTTATAAATTTCTTGCTGTTGCAAGTGAAAACACGATCATATACCTGTAGAATGTACCAGTATGTCGAGTCTCCTGAAAATGCATGCTCTTTTCAAAGGCAACAAAATATGAAGTCAGAAAGAATTAGCCTGTCTTCAGTGGATGCTTTTCAAAGTTAAATATCTTGGCTGCTTATTTTTATTAAAGCATTCCAAATGCACTTGGTCCATATTAAAGACTATTTATTTGCCAAGTTCTATTTTTAAATAAAAGCCTTTTTTTTAAGTTATGCAACCAATGAGAAAGCAACTTGGACATGCAAAATTCTGTTTGGGTTTTTTCTTTTCATGCATGTGTATAAACTTAAAAAGAACAGTCTGGATTTTTAAAAATTTTATTTTTAGAGATGGAGAATTAAGAAAGCCAATGATGGCCTAAAAATGACCTGTTAAGTTTCAGACCAAACAATGAATGAGTGTCTTGTCTTCTGGGGACACAGCGTGACAACATGTACTAGAGATGGCATGCTTTCATAAATAAGAAGATAGCAGACTTTAAGAAATACTTTCTGAGCAACTGTTATGGTTGTGTTTGGCATTCGGGCTCATGCTGAATTCCTTCAGTTCCTTCAATTTAGAACTTTCTTTCCACACCAAAATAGAAACTTTCTAACCCTGCTATTAGCTCATGCCTTTACCCTTACTGTGCTTATTAGTAGAAAGATTTTTAGCTTTAAATGTTTTAAAAGAATTATTTATTTTTTTATTTGTCAGCGTACAAGGGGTTTCAATTCAACATGTCTAATTGTGAATACAAGTATCTTGATGATTTTTCCTTCCTGGTCTTTCTTCTTTTTTTTTGGGGGGGGGGGCAGTCGTAGGGCCTGAACTCTGGGTCTGGGTGCTGTCCCTCAGCTCTTCAGCTAGCCACTTCTGGCTTTTATTGTTTTTGCTTATGTGGTGCTGAGGAATTGAACCCAGGGCCTCAGGCATGCAAGGCAAGCACTCTACCACTGAGCCACCTTCCCAGCCTATCTTGATGATTTTTAAACAGAATATATCTAAGTATATATTTGTTCATTTATCTTTGCTAAGATATTTTATCTATCCATTTTAGTACAAGAGTTACTACCTAAGAGTACATTCTGTTAAATATGAAGAATTAAAAAAAAGAAAGTTGGCATGTGAAAGGATAGTGAATCATTGGATTTTGCTTCATTTATTAAATCTTTGGAGAATTATTAAATAGTAATCCTAATTGAGGATATTATTAGGAACTGTCAGCTCAGATAAACATATTTTACTGACTTCATGTAGACCTTTCTTTTCTTCTCTGTACTCTTCAGTCTTTTTCTTTCTTTTTTTTTTTTTTT